ACAGCCGGGACTTAAACCCTAGGACCTCCCTGTCAGAGGCACTGCAGTGACTTCCTAAGTGATACCCTAAGGCACTTCAACTGGTCACACCTCGGTGAGCGATTTTAGCTTACTGGCCTCTGTACTCCCATAGCGCGGGTTTGATCTCGGTTGAGGTGTATGTATTTTCGAAGGGAGACAAGTCTACAGTGGACATATAGTGTCTGCGGCATGGAAAAGAATTCTGGCTAAATGCCCGGCAAAATTAAATTCTCTGACAATGCTCTTCCTAATCACATCCCATATTCGCTTAGCCGGGAAACGCAGAACGTAATAAGTAAAAATTATTGACACCAATGTTAGGGCGCACCCTGGCAGCTAATATGGGAAACAAACTTTTCTGGCAGCGCTGGGAGCTTGCAGGTGCCAACTAGAAAATTTTCAGCAAACCTGCACACATCGGAGGTCGAGTCAGTGAGTGAAACTCCAAAAGCTCGAGTATTACAAACAAACAACACACACGCACATCTCTATATTACCCATCACAGAAATAATTTAGTTGGGCTACAACAGCATATGCTTTCTCGTATTACTGGTACACTTGCTCTGACGAAAAAACATCTATTTGCGGTGCAGCATTAAAACACTCTTTTCTACGTAAGTACGTAGCACGCCTAAAACTGAAAGAATATTCTCAGTACTGCGAAAACTCGACAAACCGCAAATTGCATTGTCGTTGGAGGGAAACCTGTTTTATTAAGGTTGTACTGCATGCATGGAAGGTCGTACTGTATGCACGAAAGTTCGTGCTGCAGGCCGAAAGTCGCGACTTGGCGTTTCAGTGAAGCCAATCTGTCAGAATTTGGTAAATTTCAGATACGTACTACAGTATACATGTTATTTATAACAGCGGGATATTGCGTTCAACGGAATTATAATTATATTATATTATTTACAAAACTAGCGAACGGTAAAGCAAAATCCTACGTATGTTTATTAGAAAAATGTAAAATTTTATCCGCTTAAATACATGTCGGAACACGCGCACACTTCGATGCACTTCACATATCTGGTAGCATGTGGTATGGTAACACTACACATGCCGTAACACGTGTCGGGAGACCAGATGGGAGCTTATGGTGTGTCCTTCTTGGGGTTGTCTCACTGGCGGAGGAACCGGAGAAATATCCCGCAGGCAGATTTTTATTTCGGCGCAGGATCGCGTGTTTAGCGGGTAGGGAACACGATGGATCCACTCCATGGATAAAACATGCACTAGACTTAACGTAACCGGAAACACAATCAATCGATCAATCCAGGGTAGATCGTTGACTCCGCGAGTTCCCGCGAGCCTTGGCGCCCTGGCCACGGGGCGCGCGGTGGTGCGAAGTCCAGGCAGGGGAAGAGCCCGCGCCCCGCGCCGCGGGGGAGGGGGCGGGGCGCAGACGAGGACCTGGCGGCCTGGGCCGGGGAC